GTTTCAGAATAGGATCTTGCATGGAGATCCATCTAATGTATTCTGCTTGCCCTTTGTTCAGTTGTTTTCTAGAGGAATCAATGTTGTTGTTCAAATCTAACTCCTTTAGTTCTTGCATTTTGGCTTCCCAAAGTTTAACATGTTCAAACACATTGCCAACTTCTTCTTTAGACCATTGAGTGAGTCTTTTGCTGAGCATCTTTAGTTTCTGTTGTAGTTTCCACAAGGCATTCCCAGATATGTTAGTAGCCCATACTTCTTCAACCAGATTCATGAAGGTAGGCTGCTCAGTCGAGGAATCTGAAGTACTTTATGTCATTATTATTTCTGTTATGACAACTAAGCAACAAGGATCTATGGTCGGACCCAATTCTTGGTAGATGCTTGACAGTGTTATTTTGAAGGAGTTGGCACCATAGATCATTTGCAAAAATTCTATCAAGTCTCTTCCAAATCCTTTTTCTAAGATCCCAGTTGTTACACCAAGTGAATTTAGGTCCAATATAACCCAAATCCTTAACCTCACAATTGTCCATGCAAGAGCTGAAATCCAAGATTTAGTACATTCTATGAGGTCGACCCCCATGTTTCTCATCCGGATCAAGAATAACATTGAAGTCTCCTCCAATGTACCATGGCCCATCAATCACCATATGAGTACCTTCTAAACTACTCCAAAGGTCTTTTCTTTCATTTGTATTGCATTTAGCATAAACAACAGTAATGAACATATTAGAGTTTTTTACCCCATTCGGCATTTTGATAGTGATTTTTTTATCATCGACACTAATCACACTGGTTTGATTGTTTCCTGACCACATGAGCCAGATTTGCCCATTGGTGTTAGAGATACAGTGTCAAAACTTGAGATATTTCATGTATTTATCAATCTTATTCATGCTAACAAAAGGTTCTATAATTGCTATGAACTCCACTTTGTTGATGTTGATAAGTTTTTTAAGCCTAGGCATGGCTTTCTTGGTATTCACTCCTCTAATATTCCAGAAAATTGCATTAATCATGGAAACATTGGAGGGGAGATCAGTTTGAGCTACCTCCTTGAGATGTATTGGCATTGCTTTTTTTCTTCTTTTCTTTCTTTTTGTTTTGATTTCTTCTCTTGATCACAGGTGAGAAATCATTCCCATCCTCTTTGTCATGCCTAGTTTGTAATTGATCTTCAGGAATCATAACAGTGACTCTGTTGGGAGAAATTACTTCAAATTGTTGTTGTGTTTCTCTCCTAATTGGAGCTACTTCTGTGTGATCTTCATGTTCTTCAGGAATCAAGTTGACTGCCAGGTTAATTCCTGGTAGATTTTTAATGTCTGAAGGGACACTAGTTGATTCATTGATATACATCTGCCAGTGAGGGACTTTGTCTTTTTTAGTGGCCTCAATATTGCTTGATTCTTGCACTGCTTCTTTAGTCTCATTTTGTCTTACATTCTTGGTCATATTGGTACTTCCCTCATCTCCATTTTGTACCTTACCATCACTTCTGCTAACATCTACATGAGTATTCATGTGAGAGTTATTTTCTTATTGCTCCTTCATAGCTGCTTCTATAGCTCCCTTGTTTTTGGAATTAGTTGAGATCTTGACATGTTTAAAGGTCACCTTGGACTTCTTTTTAAGAACTTTCTTTTGTCTCCTAGCCTAGACTTTTTTGGTTGTTCTACCCCTGATGCTTTGCATCCTTTCCTGATTTTCAGCTCTGTTCTCATCACTTGGTTATTCTTCATTGTTGATCTTATTGATGCTCTCATTCTTATTGTTAAGCTCTACATTGTGTCCCTGTTTCCTCTGGGAGTGTTGTTCTAGTTTTATTCTACTGCCTTCCCCTGTTACTGCTGCTATGTTCTCTTTTTTTTGCCCATCTTCTTTGATTTCAAGATTCACCTCCTTGTCTTGTTTTGCTTCCTGCTCTTTCTTTTCCATTTCTCTTTTCCTTTCCAAAACTGTATAGTTCATAATGTTATGCCCAAGCTTCCTACAGTGTTTACAATACTTTGGGACACCCTCATATTCAAATTTTTGAACAAAGCCTTTTTTAGGAGCATCGTCATAAACTTGACCAACATAAACAGAATCTGGTTGTTGTTTTAGTAAGTCGATTTCAATTCTTACCTTAGCCATGTGAGGTCTGGTCTTTCCTCTCGTTGCCAAGTCCATTTTCAGTAGAGTCCCAACAGCACTGACCATCTGTTTGACATACTGCCATGTGTGCATATGAAAAGGTAGTCCCGGTAGCAGTACCCATATCGGTGCCACTGGTAGATCCTCTTCAGGCTTGAAGTCCGGAGACCACCTTTGTAATCACATTTGTTGTCCCTCAATTTCGACGACCCTCTTGTACCAGACAAAATTAAAGTCTTCTTCGTCGGTGAAATTCAAGAAAACGTTGTAATTATCATAAACCCCAATCTTGACCGAGCCTTTAATAGAGATTAGTTCTTTAAATTTTGACCTAATTCGGTCAATTTGGGGCCTAGGTTTGAGAAATCTGCCCACTATTGTGAGCCTACACTCATCTGCCATGATTCCATAATAATCCGACGCCTTGAAGAGTACCGCCGGCATTCCATTGTGTGTGATGTGTGTTGCTATGACAGATTCTCTTGCATGTTGATTTGGGACTGCTGGGAATTGTTTGGAAGTGGAAACCTTGGTTGCATAAGACAATTTTTCATCAGTAGATTCAGTGCTCTGTTTGATTGGAGGGTTGAGATTGGATTGGCCATCCAGACGAGCCGGCGGGACGCCGTCCGGTGGATCCATGAGGAAGGAGCGTGAGGGGACTCGCTTATGAAAGAGCCGTTATAAATGGTCTGTGTTTATTCTTTGTTAATAGTTGGGGTCAAAACTAGCCTGTTGTCACCAAACTAGTATGCATTTGCCTTTTTCCACTAGACTAGATACAGAAAACGATTAGTACCACAAACTGTCATGTGTGCAACACGTGTCTTAAAATTATAACGACAAGAACTGATTTCAATGGAGATATGACCATTTCACATAGGTCAGAGATATATTTGGATTTAGAAAGAAAAAAAAAAAAAGAAGAAGAAGAGAAAACATATTAATGTGGATCTTATCTTTCTCCTTTTTTTCTTTTGGCATCAATTTCTTTTAGTTGGGCTACTGAGCTGTTTAATGGTAACGGTAGCTAACAATTGAAACCCTACTAAAGGACAACTAGATAGTTGGTCAAATCTTTTAGTGGTATGAGTTGTAGTTTATTAAAGAGTTCATTGAGCAGTTTATGAATTGCAAAGATGTGGAAAGTATTGATTTTAATATATTTTCCATAAGTTGCACGTGTTTGTTTAAAAAAAAAAAAATGCAACAAAAAAATTCTAAGCGACTTCTTTCGATCTGCCTAATTTTTTATAGATCAATTTTTGTGCTGGTGGAGCCGGTATTCAGTGGAATAATCGAGTTATGTTGGATTGGAAAATTAAGAATTGTTGCTTCCTAGTACTCTCTAATGGATTTAGGAGAGTTTCAGTCAACAAATTTGGAACATACCAAGTAGTATAAAACAATTCTGTCGTCACTAATCAATGTGATCCACGATCAACTAGGGGCAAAGCCAAAAATTTCAACGTGTTAAAGATTTATTATATATGTAGTAAAAGTAATTTTTGACCTATATATACGTTATAATTTTCTATGTACACGGTATAATTTTCCGACGATTGACCATCCGTCTATATGGCTCCCAACACTGCGATGTGCGATCAACTAGAATCATATTGTCTAACATAATTCTTCAGCCCACTGCTGCACTTGATGCTTGGCAAAGTCATTTTAACATCAATCTACTACTATTTCAATATTAAATGCTTCACTTTGAAAATGTTGAAAAAGGGTAACCTGTCAATTCATGGTTGATGGCTAATAAAGACGAGTATGTGGATGCCCAATCCTATCCCATGGTAATCCCAATCAATCTATCTGTTTTTGTCCCTACACAGCTATGCTCTTACGTTGGACCAACTCGAAGCCTAGTTGTTTGATTGTTTCCTGTCGCAAAGGATAAAATAGGCTGCGTAAGAAGAAGGACAAGGGTGTGGTTTCATTTGGAGTTATAACTTTGATACGAATAAGTATAAAAGAATTTTTACACTATTAAATCTCTTTCGACAAAATCTCTAGAGTGTATCTGCCAATATAACATGTTCCATAAGTCTGCAGCCACTGAGCGATGTAGGAATAAGCTACTTCTGAGCATTGATGGCACATATAACACTTGTTCCCAAGCTGAATGCCCCACTTTTTTGAAAGCTTAAATCGGTTTTATCTTTCACAATTAGCAGAACTGAACTCCACGTAAGGTTCATCCTTGTATCTTGTGGCCGGATTTAGAGTTACATGTTTGGGCTAGCTGTGCACCGAGTACTTGCTATCTCCCACCAGCATAGATACCGTTTAACTTTGCAAGAAAGTTGTCTATGTGGAGCAGCATGATTGTCTTAGCAAATCTTGCTACTCTTAATATCACCAAAAAGACATGAACAAGAATGAATTGGGCAGTCAATGGAGATGGAATTCATCCATGGAAAGCATAACCATGGTGTCTCAGTATTAGCCTGGCCAATGCATCCTGAGTAGTCATAATTGTAACCTCACTGATAATAGATATTTTAAAAGTTGGCAGCCAGGTAAAGACCAAACAAAATCAATGGAATTAGTTTCCTCACCCATCAATTGATAAAACTGTCAAGTGTGAACAAAGGAGCTAAGAAAATATAGAGAAACTGGGTAGAGCAGTCCAGCAGTCTAGGGATACAAGTGTTTCTATTCTGGCAAAGAGCTAATACCTTTATTTTTTAAATGGACTTTTTATTTTTTATTTTTTGAAATGGAAGAACTAAATACCTTCATTGCTCACCTTAACATATAGATCACTTTCAACTAGAGTTTCATCGTTGTAACACGTATGGTAGACAATAGCAATTATCAACCTTGAGCTTTTCCAACATTGAGGAAAAAGATGATAAGATCATAGGACTTACTATAAGCAAAGGAGACAAGGTCCACCTTCATTAGTCAAACATGTGTCGTCTAAATAATGTTTTGCAATTACACAATGGTGAAACATCAATTCACAAACTTAATAAATTTATAATTGTACCATAGCACTTCTCAGCACATCACAAGATTTGCATTCGTTACTCGAATGGATCATGGAAGGATAGGAAGCTCAACTTTGTTGAATGAAAAAAAGCTCACACGCCCATGCTCAACCAGACAAAATTTCAAAGGAATACCATGAGAATGGCCCTCAAGATCTTCAATCTCCTCTTTGGAAGGTGGATACTCGCTACACAAAGAAAAATACACCACTCAAAATAAAGCTATTGCGACAGTTAATGTGGATCAACAAAGTCCGACAAAAGAGTGAAGGAAATTAGATAGGTCAAGAGTGAGGGATACAGTGGAAAATATTAAAACAACTAAATTTTCCAGATTCCCATCCAATCCGCTGATCCATCTTACTCTTAAAGATTCAGCAATGCTTAACCCATAGAATTGCCAGACTAGTTTTTCAAGCCCCTATGCTCAGCTAAATAATACTGGGAAGCAAAGATTCAGCAAATTTTAATAGGCACTAGGCACCATTATATAGTGAACCGCATTAACAAGGTACAATACCTAGCAAGACAAAGTACAAAGCAGGGATCACCAGGAGCAGACTTTCTGAATCTGCTATTAGGAGGGTAAACGTCAAAAGCGAGTCTCAATCCACCAATTTGCATATTACTGAACATTTCACTGATGAGAACATTGTTTCTTGATTCTTCATCTCCACTTTGAGCAGTCTCTGGCGGGTCTTGGCTAATAACACAGTTTACTTTTGACCTTCTCACTGACCAAGGAATACCATGACGGCAGACTATATAACCAAGGGATTTCAAGTGCTTATATGCTTCAAAATATTCCAAGGAACATCCACTTTTTCCTTCTGCAACCTTGTTGTATATGTGTTCCAAAGAAAGGGGTGTGTCATCATTGCTAAAGAGATGTAGAGCTCCAATTTCGGCAAGATATCTACATGACAAAACCAGTATCATTCTTTAAACACTGAACATTGCAGAAGATAATTCTGAAATGAAACATAAATTTTTCATATTCAATTTATAATACAACTATAGTTGTAAAACGACAAAACTCACCTTTAGTAGAATACTCTGTTATCTGTCTTTTTATGTACTTTATCAATTCGCTTTTACTCTCTTTCTCCATCAAGACTACTATTTCTATAATGTTGAAGCAGTAGACAAATGTGCAACTAAAGTACACAAGCATAACTTAGAGGGGTAATGAAACTAACACTTAAAGAGTATGAGAAATCTCTATACCAAAATTGGCCTCCAGATCCAATGATGAGGAAAGATAACAGAAAACGTATGCCAACCGAACTATACAATTTTCAAATTTTGCAGCCTATAAAAACAAGAGAAATAATACCTTTTTCGAGGTTCATTAAGATACTAAAGAACAGTACTTTCTTGCTTTTTTATCTCGGCCAAACAGATCTGATATTTGAATTCTGACCAAATACGCTGAAAAAACACCGTATTTGTCCCCGGTCCTTAACTTCTCATGGTCTATTCTCAATTATGCATGTACTCAAAGTCAATAGCTTTTAACTCTACAACTACAGGAGATAACAAAAAAAGAATTTTCATCACCTACAAAATCTCTTCAATGAAGCAATATATCTTGCCGTTACGAACTATCCCAGTAGTTGTCCACAATCCACCCTTCCTCTCCACGACCTCAGCCATTCCTAACTGGTCAAGCCACCATGATCTTGAAATATCTTTCCTGAAGAAAAGGATGCACATTCACATTCCTTATTCAAATTTATTTCATTATGAAGATAAAACTTCCAAACATAAGAGCATGCTTCTATATCATGAGATGAAACCTGAACTGCAACTTGGGTATATCAGTGGATGCATATGCACAGCAATGTTCATCATCATCAAGATCCTCTCCATAGCCTTCAGAATCACTTGTTCCTTCTGAAAAACTTGCCCACTTAGCAGTTTCCATATATGGAATTAATTGCAAATCCCTACAGCACAAGTAACAGTCGTCCTAGCAAGTAGAGACACTAGCAATTGATTATTTAAAAAGGTGGAGAAACTAATTTTTATTTAATACATTATTACTATGTAAATAAATCCAGTAATCTCATCAAAATAGCGAGTAAATGTTATACTATGTGGTATAGTATAGTTGATGATTCTGTATATTCTCTAAGCAATTAAAAGTTATTTACTTTAACAAGAGATTACGGAATTCGAAATGAAGTAAAATATTTAAAAATCTTTAAGCAAAATAAAAAATAGACAAAAATGTAACACAAATAATAAACTTTAATTAACCATAAAGAGAATGAGAGCTTATAAATTAAACTAAACTAACACGAATAATAAAAGAACAGAGTTTAAATATTAAACTAACAATTTCAATATGAAATAATTAAACAATTCCAATAAACTTCTCACACCCCACAAAACCTGGAGATATTTTGGGCTTGGTTAGTTTTTTGACTTTTTGGTTGATGAAATTATCAACAAAAAAAACGAACTTGTTTGCCTCTGAGATGTTTTTGGGATCTCACTTCTCTATGTTGCTGCTGTTATTCATTAACAATTTCAATTTTAAAACATAATAAAAATATTAAAAAAAACAAACGAACAATAAAGAAAAAGAAAAATTAAAAAGTAAAAGAGAGCTATAACGTTTAATTCACGGTTCTAATGTTGGGAATTTGCAGCTACCCTGCCTATGCACAGAGTACCTGCCTAGTTTTCTATCAGTATATTGGGAATGTTGGGAGCCTTTTCTTAATCCCTTTGTATTTCCCTCATACTGTTCATTCAGCTCTATAAGAGAGAGAGAAAGAGAAGTGACCTTTTTGCGGCGGTGGGCGGTGCGGTAGCGAGGGACGGTGGAGACAAGGACTGAGAGCAGAGAAAGGAAGGAGAATGAGAGACCAATTGATTTCTTACAGATTGTTGTATTCTGGTTCTAACTTCTAAGAAAGGAGAAGTGTTCAAATACCCTATTTTAATGTCTATCCAGTTTATAATAAGTACTAGTGCCCAACTTAAACAGCCTATATAGTTTCATTATTCATTGTGTTACTTCTGATTCTCAATGTAACATTTGGACTTTCTCTTCCTAGAGGTCTCACTAATTTTTCAAATTCTTTGTCATGATTTTTTGTAAGTACTTAAGAGAAATATAAAAAATACTACTGTTGTAAATAAAAGTACAGTGACAATATCCATAAGGACCCAAAAGCAAAGGGCAGAAAGTTCTTTATCCTTTGACTTTTAAATTTTAGTTTTCAACATAATATAAGTTTGTCAAAAAGTAGATCGAGCTAAATCATTAAAAACGAAAGACACTGTCCATAAAGTGCAAGCCCGGTTGATCTGCACTGAGTTAAAAGGAGTATCCATGAAAATGTTCATGATCATTTTTATTTCAATAATGAGTTGATAAGAGTACTGCTGAAGCAGAATCAAGTGAAACTTTATAAGAATATTAGTAGATGAATAGCATAATTGACAAGTATTGATAATGAATGAGGAGCATACCAATTTACATTTGATAACTTAAGTGAACTTGATAAAACTATATCTCAAGAAGACTGCCCAAAATTAAGTACATGCCACTTTTATTAAAATTTTCAGATGTAAGCCATTTTTTCTCAGAAAAAGCATGTAATTGTATCTCGTAAAGAACTTGTAGTATAGAGAGCATATACTAACAGGAAAACTCTATCAAGATGAGAAGACTATCCATAAGTACGTTAGTCAACATGCTCAAAGACCTTTTTTTCTAAATCAAGTTACAATCAGAGGACTCTTAGTTAGGTCTCTTAGTTTACTGAAAGATTATACTTTTAACTCCTTTGTTTCACCTTTGAACTTTCCTTCTTATTTGTACAAGACCTTTTTAGTTCGCGAGTTTGTATTTGTGTCAAAGGAATAAGCTTTACTAATCGAAATTTTTCAATGCAGTCAAATTCATCCATAACTTGCATTAATCATGTGACTTATCAAAAACTCTTATTATGTGTCAAAACAACAGCAACAAACGATTATATCAAGAAAGAAGAAAAGGGTACCTCTTCAACAAATGATACTATCTGTAGTGGTCAAATATATGTCGGTTCCTCTAACCTATGTGTATCAACCACTTTAGCGAGGCAGAACAATAAGTTAACAATTTGCGGAAGAAATAAATCATAGATAGTTACTCACCAAGACGTGTAAAGATAACAAGTTATTTGTCAGAAGAAGAGCAATTGTATCAATGCTTGCAACCTGCAGTGCCGCAAACAAGAATAAACGTAAGCGTCAATGTGATTGGCATAGTGAATTTTAGGAGTGAAAACTATAACAGCGGCAACTCAAAAAACTGTTGTCCTACATTCAACCCCTCGGCTCTACGGTTCTTGCTGCCTTGTGGGATTGTTCTTGAATGTGGGGCAGCACTGAGGCACCAAAGAGGCACAAGGGGAATTTCAGCGTATATTGGGTTTCAACATCTAAAACTGTGTTACTAGTAATCAGCTAACTAATGGAGTAACTACAAAGTATCCTACATAACTGCTATATTTTCTTACGCAGAACATTTATTTGCCAAATGAAAACATCAAGACCATTTAACAATTGTCATCTAATATTTTTATACAATACAAATGGAAAGAATGTGGGTAAAAAATAACATCTTCTGTATCTTATGCCATAGTTTAATGTCTAGCAAGCTGCAACAGTATCTGAAAATAAAAATACCATCTAAGTTTATTTATGGCCACTAAGAAACCACTAAGCTTGGAAAGTAGGTAAGGAACCCAAATTCGATGTTTCGAAATTTTGCTCTGCAATAATAGCTGACACAATATTTTTTGCAGTCCTGCAAGTAGCCTATTTATACAAAATAGTTTACACAAGCTAGCTACCTAAAATACTATGAGAAGAAAATTCAGAACACTGTTAAGAAATGGAGAGTATGTTGTCCAGATAAGGCCACATGTGCTCAAGAAATTTATTGAGCCAGTCCAGCTTCAACAACATATAAAGAAAATAATTATATATACATAACTAAGCAACTCTAAAGATGCAGGTTAACCATGTAACTGAATACATACACGGTTATCCGGACAGTAAACCCAAACATGAATTTCAGAAAGTAATTGCTGCAAGCTTTGAGAATCTTGCTCGGCCAATGGATGAATAACAGGTCCTAATATAGTAAATGAAACCTATTGTAGTTGTTTTCAAAGGTGCTGATTGTGTAAAAGTAAAAAACGGTATCTCTTCCAATGATAAAAGTGCAGAAGTGAGACATATGAAATATATCAATGAGCAAGAAGGAGACATAAGTTGAACATGAGCAAAGGCCTACTGTTTCAACAACATGGCTTATAACTGACATATATTAAAGTACTCAACATTTCATACCTTTAAGATAGTAATTAGAAAAAGTAGTTTGGTCCTGAGTGTTTATTTCAATTTGAGCAATTCATAGAAACTCTTGTTTATACCCAACCACAAGGGATAACTAAACAACTCAGATTATCCAAATCTTTACTTTGGGACAAATAATGAAAAAAAATAAAGCTCTATAATTTACAGGCTACACATTAAAGATTACAGTCTGATTATCAATTTTTTGAAGCTCAGCGAAGTCAAACTTATAAACCTTCAAACAATAGAGCCGTAGTAAAAGATCCAACACGATAGATCAGCAAACTAACTTTTTTAAACTATTCTTACCTTGAAAGAGCAAAACGGAGCAACGAAGAACGTCACCGAAGCCATTAAGATGAACAAACTGTTTTGATCTTCATGCTCTTTGTTTCATAGAAACCCAGCGATTGAATCATGAAAAAATACCTAAAAAGAACTTTCAAAACCAATGGGCTTGAGTTTTATACCATGCAAAGGATTATATGTTATTGGCACCCACTAAAACCAAACCAATAACAAAAAGAATAAGTTTTAGTCAAGATAAAAAGGAACCATCAAATAGAGTGCCTATTTCATGACCTACTGCTTCTGGAATATATGAAAAAAATCAAAAACTTTAGCTGAATAAGAAGAACTACAAGATTTATTCATGTTAGGTTCCTATAACCATAAGTATGTATAGCTGCAATTAAACAAACTGCAAGATGACATTGAAGTGGGTAAGCAGACATGTCCAATTGGTCCACTCTACTTTCAATTGCCACAGTCGTTCTTCAAGTAAGGAAAATTTAAGTTTATGTCCTTGTCTTCATTATAGGATGTGGAAAGGCATTCAAGAAGGAAAATTGTGGAGGGCTAACTACCAGAGATACAAAGTTCTATACTACAGGATTATTGTATCCTTAGACATATGACAGCCAACTTTAACCCAAACTTTATTCATATACCAAGGCGAAACTTTGTCAAGTTCGCAGTTTCGAGAAGTAACAATCCAAAGAGTATTGGCATGTGAAAATTAATAATGTGCGTAAATTTATAATCGGATCTCCAAAGCTAACACAATGGACACTACCTTTTTGCAACTAAGAACATTTTTTGAATGATCTAGGACATGCCTTTGTCACTTTTGAATATTGTTGCTTCATTACAATTTTGTACTGGCATCTCTAAAGCGTTAAAAGAAGTACAGAAACACTTAACCGCAATTTGATTGCCAAAATAATGAAAGTATAATTTCTTAATATATTGTTCTTGCCTAATATTTTCTCGGGGCAGCTTTTTCTTTTCGATTGGGCTGTAATATTTTACCATTTTGTCAGCCTTAGCCAATATTAAAGTAACAAACACAGCATAGCAGGGGGAAAAACTTTTTAAACCCATGCAATTACCTTGAAAGAGCAAAAGCGTAGTTGGCGGATGAAGAACTCTACCAATGATGCGAGAAGATAACCAAATCGCTATGTTATTCAAAGAAATCCAGTAACAGATGTAAACTTCGATTAAGAATCTCAATAAAAGTCAAAATTTAAATTTTGGCGAAAAGTAGTGCGACAATCAAAGAGAAGAAAGTAGCAAAACCCAAAGAAAAACGGAGAGGAAACAGAGCAAATCAAAGGGATTTACTTTGGTAGAAGAAAGCGAAGAACTGTGCGTTAAAAACTTAGGAGAGAGAAATTGTTCTTCAAACTAATGACCTACTGAGTCTACTTTTGATACGTCAAATGACCAAACTGCCCTCGTCATAACGGAGAGCTCTAACTTTAGCTTGCGTGCGTGTATCAATAAAATAATATATAAATATAAAATAATATGAATTATTGTGTAATATTGATGTCAGTATATAAATATAAAATAATATGACTACGTGGGTATTTAGATATCTTGTCAAACGTAAAATCTTTTAACCCAAAGTATTAACCAACATAATCTTTTATCCTAAAAAAAATGAATTGGATGGTGAAAATAATAAGACTTAAGCGGAAAATAATTATTCCAAAATCCTATAAAAGCATCAAAAACAAAAGTAACAACAAACTAAATCAAGAAAAAACTTCCAAATGTTACAATAATATTCTATAAAACAAAAACAAAAAAGATTAAGGGAGTTACATCCTAAGGCGTAACTCATATCTCGTTTGGTGAGGAATAAAATAAATAATAAGTTATCTCGATATACTTTGTTGTGTTAGTTTTAAAAGATCCAAAAACTTCTAAGATATAGAATCGGCAACCTAAAACTTGGAGAAAGAAAATACAAAGGTTAAAAACCGGTTAGTCCTTCATACGAACTGGTTTAAATGGTAATACATTGGATCGGAGAAGCGTCTTCATAGTATCAGGTTGAGGTCCGAAGTCAAGTCACCAAGCTTCGAACCCGAAGGACCGATCAATGTCGAGCTCGATGTCATTATCGAGCTCAAATCCAAGTCAAACTATGATGCAAAATAAAGTTATCAAGCTTATGAGGCAGAGACCGACCAACACTGACCCCGAATCAATACAAGGATCCGAGTCAGAATCGAGCTCGAGTCAAGATCGAGAGCTCGAATCAATATCGAGCTGATAGACAAGAGCCGTTGCAATCCCACTAGAGGAGAGAATCCTGACAGGAATTATGAAAAAGATGATTTATCATGGGTCTCCCACTATGTATTTTTAATTATATCTAAAGTAAGATCCCTCTATTATAAAGGGGATGGTTATTATTTCTGTAAGGACCAAGTTTTTGCATACATTGTAACTGAGATATCATACACTCCGCCATTGAAGAGTTATCTTTTTTTAGCTTCATCAATAGATTCATCTTGCTTAATCTATAAATCACCTTTTTCTCAATTTTGCTTATTTTTCATTCTATATAGTCAACACTTGATATTTCTATTCATTCTTACGATTCGTGTCAAGTTATACCACATACCCTTAGAACTACGTACAAATTTAACTCAATCCATTTTTTCGGTAAACAGTTTGGCGCCCACCGTGGGGCTAAAGATAACAATGGTTATTTGATACGAATCTGCAAAAACACGCCATTTTTTGCTTGTTTTCGGAAGTGTCTTTGATTTCAGATTAGCAACGACTAAACTATCAATTAAATGGTCTTACCTATCGACAACGAAGCTGGTCTTCAAGATGAGAACAATAACTTGACATCCAGTACCGAAAGGCCGCTTGTCAACGCCGTTGGAACTCGAATCGAAGCGCCGATAGACATTAATTCGCATGTGGCCATTGAGGTGAACCTACATTCTGAACCTGAAAATAGCATACATGGTGGCACTCGATCTGCAGCTCGAGATACCCATAACGTCGAAGAAAACGGCGTCAGCTTGCGTATGATTTTCGAAATGTTGCAAGCTCAATAGGCAGCGATAGCTCAGTTGCAGAGTCAAACCCAGATACCGAGCAGGCCGGAGCCCAGTTAACCCCGAGAAATTGCACATACAACGGAACCAGCTATGGTGAAATCAAATGAGCAGGAGTCGGGGACTAATCCCAAAATTGCTAAGATGTTCGAAGAACTGACCAAACGAATAGAATCGGAAGAAAGGAGGATCGAACCAAACGACAAAAAGGTGGAAACATACAACTTCTGGGTTGATCAGATCCCGGGGGCACCACCAATATTGAAGGGCTTAGATTCCAAAAAATTCATAAAAAACCCTTTCCCCCCAAGCGCGGCTCCTAAACCGATCCCAAAGAAGTTCCGCATGCCCGAGATTCCTAAATATAACGGAACTACCGGCCCCAACGAACATGTCACCTCATAGACATGTGCCATCAAAGGGAATGATCTAGAGGATGATGAGATCGAATACGTATTATTGAAGAAATTCAGTGAAACCCTCTCAAAGGGAGCAATGATATAGTATCATAATTTTCCATCTAATTCTATCGATTCTTTTACTATGCTTACAGATTCCTTCATAAAAGCACACGCCGGGGCCATAAAAGTCGAGACCAGGAAGTCGGACCTGTTCAAGGTAAGACAAAAGGATAACGAGATGCTAAGGGAGTTCGTATCTCGTTTTCAAATGGAAGAATGGATTTGCCACCAGTCACAGACGATTGGGCTATTTAGGCTTTCACTCAAGGTTTGAACGAATGAAGTTCGATGGCTTCATGGCGGTTGAAGCATATCCTGATCGAGTACCCAGCTATCACTTGGGCCGACATGCATAATCGGTACCAATCAAAAATTAGAGTCGAAGATGATCAGTTGGGGTCTGAACCCGCTGCTCGAAGGGATATCAATTGAGAACAAGGTCCGATCAGGGACCGATACCGACCGTATAGTGGAAACCACATAATCAATGAATCGAGACGTAACCCCGGACAAAGCAACAAAAGAAGTGATCGAGGTCAAAGGTCTCGGGGGATGATGAACAGAAGTGGGTTCGACAGGCCTACCAGATCTAAGGAAGCACCACGGTTATCGGAGTATAACTTCAACGTTGATGCATCCGCCATCGTGTCGGCTATCGGACGCATAAAAGACACTAAATGGCCTCGACCCATGCAGATCGATCCTGCCCAGAGGAATCCCAATCAAATGTGCGAATATCATGGCACCCATGGCCACAGAACGGAAGATTACAGGCAACTAAGAGAGGAGGTAGCCCGGTTATTCAATAAAGAGCACCTTCGAGAATTTTTAAACGACAGGGCGAATAACCATTTCAAAAACAGGAATTTCGGCAAACAAAACGAACAAGAAGAACCACATCACATCATCCACATGATCATCGGCGGCGTCGATACCCCTCAAGGTTCGGTGCTTAAACGCACTAAGACATCGATTATGAGAGAAAAACGACCTCGAACTCAGGATGACGCACCCATAGGAACTTTGTCCTTCAATGATGAAGATGCAGAAGAAGTCATGAAACCTCATAACGATGCACTGGTAATATCCGTATTTATGAATAAAACTAAAGTTAAACGTGTGTTAATTGATCCAGGTAGCTCGGCCAACATCATTAGATCGAAGGTTGTAGAACAACTCGGTTTATAGGACCAGGTCGTACCCGCAACCCTGGTTCTAAACGGATTCAATATGGCATGTGAAACCAGCAAAGGCGAGATAATTATGCTGATAAACGTGACCGAGACCATCCAGGAAACGAAGTTCCACGTAATCGAAGGCGACATGAGGTACAACGCCCTTTTTGGAAGGCCATGGATCCACAACATGAGAGCTGTACCTTCGACCCTACACCAGGTTCTTAAATTCCCAACATCGAAGGGAGTCAAAACAGTGTACGGAGAACAATCGGCCACAAGAGAAATGTTTGCCGTCGAGCAAGTGAATCCGATATCCTCACCTTCGTCAATAAAGGGATCATACTCAAAAGGGGAACGAGATGCCAAATAGCAATCACAGACATCAACTTTAACCCAACCAGAAAATCAGAAGATCGATGAAGATGATGATCAAAGGATCCCTCGATCCTTCGTGGTTCCCGATGATTCCGACGCTACCCAATCATCGATTAAAGAATTGGAGCAAGTCATA